GGGATCCACTGAGGATTTAATATTATTCAACAGCTGGTTAACAACTCTCATCTGTTTCTTCTCAATTGATTCTCCATTGGTGGTTGATCTATATATGTCAATGTTTAGCTTGATTCCCTATCGGTTGAGTAATAATCTGAAAAAATGTGCCTATTTTCACACAGAGTAAGTTCTTCTATGAACAGCTCGCTTTGCTGAGCCATCTTCTATGTTCCATGCTTAGTGTGCACTCAATGTGCATCATAGAAGCACATCTTTATGAATAATGACCGGAATTTCAAAGTTCTTCTGCTTCTCTAATATCTGCTGTCATACATATTCTATAATCTCCATATAACATATTAGTGAGCAGTGATGTGACATCTAAGGATATCATCCGCCTCACAACTACATCAACCAAAGGTAAACTAGAAATGATGTCGAGGACATCTTTGCCACCCAGATTTAACACATCTCAGTGCACTTGTTTTAGGCATTCAACTAGCCCCTTTTTACTACCCCTCGACGTTGGAAATAGAAAAGTATAGGACTGGATGTAACAGTAATCCTAGTTTATGCTCTTTGGCACAAATACACAGTTTTGCTGTGTAACTTCCAGTAGGCTTCTGAGAGTTACGGACTGTCACATGGACGACCACACCATTTCTCGATTCCTTAAGCGTGTTCTTCCGCCACTTTCCAGCATAACATTCTAATTCTCTTGGATAGTACAGGTTTTGAAACTTTGTTCAATCGCTGATTAGTGTAGTCTTAGAACTACAGGAGTCGACAGATGTTGACTATATGAAAACAACAGAATATAATTTGGAAAAAATCTGGAACAGTCGCTTCTATTATTTAATAGCAATCTTTAATCTGAATTCGAAATTCCGCGTCTTTTTCAGATCTGTGATGGGGCCATTTGAAGTCAGTGAGCTGCATTCTCAGCTGATATATAATTATGTATATAGTGATACCACTCTTAATGTTTCTTAAGTTATCTGAATGAATTTTCTTACAATTCGCCAGCGACATTTTGTTCAAACATTACTTCACTTTCAACAAAATTCAATCATTTAAACGTCCTGAATCATGTGGACATTGTAAGACCTTCAATGCTGCGCATATTCGCACTTCTAAAAATGAATTTTTTGATAATAATTGATTGCTCACCGTATTTTTGATATAAGTATGGAATTTTCAGCATGTGATATTAGTAGCCCAATTTTGCGGGCCGACCATACATATCGAGAGTGCGTCGGCTTAGGATCGAACCTCGGACCATGTGCATGCTCGGTGAGAGTTCTAACCACTATGCTGCCGACTCCTCAATCGAACGAAGTTGACGTTTGCATCATTTTGGTCTTCCAGTTAATTTACGATTCCATTTTCACAAAACAAATGCACATAACCTCTTCTAATAAAAACAATTCTTCTCATCATATCGATGCATTCTTCGTGGATCTATAAAGAGATATATGCCATGGATTTAGACACTAATGTGGTGAATGATTGATATTAAGAAAACGTCTGTGCGCTTCGTACAAGGGTGTGCAGATTAACAGCCAAATAATGAAGCAATCTGATTGTTATCTGAATCAAACATACAAAAAATTGGTGAGCACCGGGACATAAGACACTGTAAATCAGCTGTTATGAAGGCCAATAGGAAAATACAGATTTCGCTTTCTCTGTTCAGAAGTGCTTGCGTGTATAACAGGTTTCATTGAGTGCCATTCTACGTGTGTGCTTAGCGACCACACTCGAGTGATCACGTTTGAATGATGAAAAAGTATGGAATCCCATTCTGGGAGCTGGTGAAATTTTCGAAGCTAATTGTTTGGAACTTATGTATTTCTGCATGGATTTCGGAAGACAGTTATTATCTAATAATATTCGTTATGGCTTCTCAGCTCTTCTGCAATGGCATTCTCTGTGTGTGTATATGATGAATATTTCTGGAAAAGCAGTACACCAGCGTCATTCTACTATGGCGAAGACGAAGAACATGGCTATCTAGATACTTAATGTCCATGTGGGCTTCCTGTTGACAGATAATTAAATTTACAGACCAGTTGTTGAATTATCAAAACGTCTACAGTTGGCAAATAGTCGTTATTCCCGTCAAGTTGTTTAACGACATATGAATAATCTCGACGGAAATTGTCACAAATGACATCATAATAAAATCGATGCACATCTCATGCAGAAACAATTTTCTAATCAGTGTCCCTAATTTGGTTCGCAAATATATAAGTGTATAGATAGAGACATATACCAGCTAACCATAAGTCTAACAATACCGCCGACGAATTTCTGTGACATGAAAGAAGCAGCTGTTTGTATACAACGATGGAAAGTGGAAATCAAAAATCGGTGTTCAAAATCCAATCATCACATAAAATGTATGTGATCTGTAACAATGATTCATTTGGAAATAAATAATCAGTATGATTGGACAATATGCTTTCATATTTAATAAAGCTGTCATGAAGAAACTGTACAAAGTCAAAAGTATCTTTCAAAACAAAGCTCGAGAAAAGCTGTCTCTTTTAAGCTCTGAAGTATCCACTAAGCACTTCTCGTGCTTATGCATTCATTACTGGTACGCACATTTGCATAATGCAACGAGATGGGAGCCTCCAGTTTTCGGCTAACACGTAAGACGCGACGTGAAGAAATCAAGTCTCACTCAAACCACTGATCAAATATCACGTCAACCTATTCACAACTATTGTTTCCCTATTGTACAGTTTAGTTAGAAAACCTGATTGTTATCGACATTGGATCAAATCAAGTTGTTCGATGGAGACGCCATTTTACATGAATTCATTTCTCCCTTTGCCTGTACAGTCTTATTTAGACACCATTTATTCACGAAGAATAGTTGCAAGAAATATGGTGAGTTGTGATAATCATTGTTCTTAATTGCGAGCAATGATTGAGTAGAGTAATAAGATTAATAGTTTATTGAATGAGTTGTCAAAAGATACACATAAGAACGAAGGATTTTCTGAAAGTAAATCAGATTACGAACGAAATGCAGGAGCGGTCAAGTTTAAAAAATACTTGCAAAAATGAAATTAGGAATCACCAACGTTGTCACGTTGAATCGATCGCTTTCCATTCAGACTTGTGGTTTCTACATCTCGGTGGTTAGAGCTTCAGCAATGCGAAGATGAAGAAAAATTACCGTCTCTGGAAGGACCACCTTCACTTTGTCAGTACATCTGACATGGTGCACAATTATCCCAGTATCTTTGACACCTCTGCCACATTTGTGCAATCACGTGCAACAGCATACTTTAAAACCTTTGAAGAGAATACTCGAGCAATATGGGTTACTCCATTGGTGAAATAGGTGAACGGATGAAACATGTTGTCTCCTCAGATTTCGTATTGAAATCATTCGTAAAGAATTGCATAGAATTCCTATCGAACGGTTGGGCATGAAAATGAATTCACAGAGAACAGCTTTCTCAGTGATCCACTTGCCTCACTCTTCGCAACAATCATTGCATGCGTATTATTCATACTGTTTACAAGACAGCATTTCAATGACACATATTTGTAAACATCACCTCCTTTCTTTTCACAATGTATCATACTAACATGCAATTGTACACTGTGAGAAAGACAATGTTGAGACATCTAAGTATTTGTCAACATCTAACCATTTTGTCGAACTAAATGAAGCAATACAGTTCGAGAGTGAGATGAATGATCCGATGACAAACAGGTTAGCATAGTTAGGGAGGCTAGGATTCATAAAACCATGAGATGAGTGTATCAACGCATCATGACGCAAAACGGATATCTCACAATTACACACATCCTTATACACAAGCAACTGCGTAAGACAATCTACGTGTGACTGACTGAATCAGTTCACTTCAATAATGAGTATACACACCGGATGAAAACTGCATCCAATGCATTATATAATTCATACATCCTCACAAAATCACACCACAAACACACTACACAACACTGTGAGCATCAACGAACAACAACAATGCATCACTACGAAAGCCATGCAGTCTCTTACTTATTGATGGACACAAATGAACTAAGGTAGAAAAATAAGGAGGAAATAACAAGGCCAGCATTCATGTAACATTCATTTATTGAGAATTCATATAAACAAACATGTCAATCGCGTTCATTTCGGTTGTCCAACCAGAGAATTACTGAATCTCACTCTACACTAAACATCTAGTCCTTCTTCGTCTTCGCATCCTTCGCCTCCTTGATGTCCTTCTTCAAACTTTGAATCTTCTTACCAATCTTCTTCACATCAGGACGTTTGCAGGCACTGCAAGTGGAGAGAGACACACAATTCATGATAAATATATGAGTGTTTGCAAGCGGAATGTATATGAATATATATGTATGCTGCGAAATACAGAGAACTGACGAGTTCGCAATAAAAATAGTAAGACAAAATAACACCGTGCACAATTCCACATGATAATGTGTGCTGTTTGTGAGTATTGGAAGGCAGAGACTGATAGACTGTAGATCACTCTGGTAACGAACCTGATCGAAATAAATAAATGCATAATGAATTGAGGAATGAATAGCTGCCTGATATACACAATGAGATGCTTCTTACACCAAGGTTGATTGTCTGTAGTGTTTGTGGAGTTTGCATATTCCACTGGAAAATACAAAAATCAACAACGTCATGGAAAACACTGAGGATGTAGACACAGTTGGACCGAAAAACAGGTAACTGTGTATTCACGAATGTGCAACTCTAAATAATTGCATTTAGAATCCTAGTCTACGTGCATTATCATTCCACGACTCGATCAGTCAAACTCCAAATGATAAAAACCGAACAGCATTGAAGCATCAACAAAATTATCAACAGACTGACGACAGAAACTCTACAAACCCCGGTCACCGCTCCATGCCGCCAAAAATCAGTCGTATATCCATCACTGAATTTTGTCAAAACCAAAATACATATGAACTGTGAATGCAACATCATCGAATGATGCCCCACTAAATGATATCTGATGGGCCACTGAGGGAAGAGTCAACATTCCCGATAGGAAAGACAACTGGAAACGTGTCGCCTCAATGCATAGAGCGTGTGATGCTAGTGAGGCCTATTATCGGATCAAATGTGTGTGCATGAGTGTGTCTGTGTACATGTGTATTATTAAATAACAAACTGGAAAACAGGACACGCAGTCATTGGTTATCAGCCACACCAAAACATACATGTCCACCTGTCGAGTTCCCTTCTTCGCAGACAACTCCTCAGCAGTCGGTTTCGACAGATCGAAGTTTGTGACACACAGACCAGACCCCAGCTTCACCACTCCCTTCTCGTTACTGCCAACAGTCAGTCCTCCAAATTTGATGTTCCATGATCCTGAAAGCAAAACACAAAAAAAATGTTCATGATCATGATGATGATGAGCAGTGTGAAGTGATTCACCTGCAAATCCACACATTCACCACATCTAAATAGAAAAATGCTTCATCACTAGCCACAATCACATCTCGTTGGAGAGAGGATATCCACTATCGTTCGAAATAAGCGACGTCAACACTCTTCACACTTGTGAGTGGATTCATGAGGACTAGGATGGAATTCATTGTCGTGAGAATCGCTCTTCTCATCAGACATGATGCACGCGTGGTTTATACTGACACACAAACTGTTCTCAATTTCTCTTCATCCATCAAGCCAATACGCATTGATCTATCGAGGACTCAATCCAGGATGAATCAACTGGTAGACAGCTGATCCATCACCACCTATACACTTGAACACTGCATCGTCACAAATCGTCTATACATTGATTGACCTGTGTGTGGTGATGGAGAATTCTCCTGTTCGTCAATCAATCAGTCAATTGTCATCTCATCGACACAATCAGGCTGACTTATGCAATTAGAGAAAAATGACAACAGGAAGACAAGGTGATATCCGGTAGTCATTTGCCTTCATTATATCAAAGTGTGTCTAAACCCACTTGATCAATGATCCACACATCATTGTCAGTAATGAATTGTCGGAGCACGTGAGACGACATGATGACTAAGGATTCTGTAACACCATGCTTATATCTATGTGTCTGTATAGTTAGTGAAAATGGACAACTTTATCATGAACAATGTTTTGAGATGTAAAAATCAAACGGTGACTGGGGAGAAATGACAAGCAAGAAAACAATCCATATGACTCACCATCCTCCGCAAAATTTAGTGGCAGTTTCTCGGACTTCTTGTAAGGTTTCATTTCGACGAGATGTGGCAGGAGAACACAAGCCATGACAATGCAGAGTATCGAGAGATGTGCCATTATCAGAAGTCTGTCAAAAGAGATGAAGAGAATGAAGAAAGAGTTCTCAGTTTAGCACAGATAGCTCAACTACCGAATAAACAAAGGTTGAATAATGAGAATGCTGTGAATCGTCGACGGTGGAGACGCCGATAACTACACTTGTCGATGTTACACATCCGAAAAAGCTATACAACAAGACGTTGCGATATCTCATGACCAACGAACTGGTCAGTGTGTGACACTGCGTTCATGTGGTATGGTCGGTGATTTGGATGGAGGAGTGACATGTTCGACACAAATGCAAAAGTGAAATGTGGAAATGAATTGCATAACTTACAATTTGTTTGTGGCTTACTGGTAAGTTGAATAGTGTTCCACCCATGCATGCATTTATATATGCATGTAAATGTGGGTCAACTGTTAATTTAGGTGTTGAGCGGTCGGCTTTGTCACATCAATCGATTTCGCCTGTCAATATGTAGTCATGGATGTATTAATCTTGTGATGTCAGATCAATAACTGAGAATGACTGACCTCGACTAATGCTTCACTGGCTGCGGTTAAACAGCACTGGATTAATTATCTGCTGCATCCACTCTATCACCTGGTATTCCACCGATAATTTCATTGTTCAACCATGTATTTTCCCAACTGAAGTGCATAATTTTACGGTGAAGATTTGGTTGTATCCATCTCTCTGTCTCTCACTGACTTCAACATTCACTTTTATTACTTGACTTTTATGCTTGATTCGTGTCTACTTTGTGATTTAGTGGTTCGTGTTATCTGAGATCATTGTGAAAATGTGTTGTAACTAACATTTGGAAGGATTCCAGGAAAATATGTTGCGGTAATAACGTATCAGGAGACATGGATAGAAGGGTATGGAGAAAATTGTGATTTGCTTTTTAAATGTCCTCCTGGTGCAATTTATTTTTTTATTGTCCAAACTCTAACTTAAAGAATTGGAAACATTTATTTCCCGATACAAATTTAAAACAAGCAATAAAGGTTACTAAAGCAGGATTTAATGAATTCATAGAATTTTGGTAGAACTCGTCAGCTGAATACTCTACATACACGGATATATATACTTTTGAAATTACATTGGGAGATATAGAACTGATAAGTAAATAAACTACATTGAATTAGTCATGCAGAAAAATAGGTGCGAATGTTTTTCCAGGTCATGTTCAATTAGATAAGGGGAGAGAGAGTATGGGAGATCAAAATTAAGATAAATTGCATTACGCTTCAATTACATCACTTAGATAAACAATTAGACATTAGAGAATTTAACAAGAATTGCAACCAGAGGGATGTCAATAGTAATAGTTATAATAACAATAATAATAATAGTGTTGAAGTGAGTTTAGATAATGCTACTGATAAAGGATAGTTTTAAATAAAAAACAAGAATAATAATAATAATAGTAATAGTAATAATAAATAATAATAATATGTAGAATTATAAGTAAAACGTATTAGCATGGTAGATTCAGAGTCACGACCATCTCCTTTTGTACACAGAGACCTGGTTTATTAATTCAAATTGCACAAGCCTCTGCAATTGCATGCATCTTCTTGTTTCTTTGTCGTCTGACAATGGTGAATGACTTGCCCGCGTCGATATCATGCCCGTAATCCACAAGATGCTTTGTTATTGAGGATTTTGGCACTTTGCACTCAGCTGTTTTCAACCATTTTGGCAACCATGTGAGTAGCCAATCTCCTTTCCGTACGACCTATGTATTTGCTTCCACAAACACACTCAAAATGATATACGCAGTTTGAAGTGTCGAGGATTTGCGACTGGTCTTTCCGAGATTGTTGAGCCACTCGCTTAATGGTGTTAAGGAAAACAAGTTTTGCAGCATAATAAGTTCTCTTGATGGCTTTGTCGAGTCTTCGTTTGACTACTTCCTGTACATCATCTCCTTTAAACGGCAAACTGATATAGACAAGTTTCTTCGGAACTGTTTGGATAGTTTTGCAGCAGGTGTTTTCTTTAGAGTATTTATTAATGAACTTCTCAGGATATCCATTCTTAGATAAGATATCCTTCAGGGGTTTTATTTCATACTCAACAGTACTGTCAGAACAAATTTTTCGTGCTCTATTGAACAGTGTTCTGACTAAGTTCTTTTTATACTGGATTGGAACAAAACTCTTGAAATGCATGTACTGTCCTGTCCATGAGGACTTTCTGAATACAGATATTTCGATTGTGCCATCATTCATTTTCGCCAAAAAAACGTCTAGGAATTTAATAGTATCATTTTCCTCGTGTTCTACTGTGAAATTGAGATTTGGATGGCATGAATTGAATTTAATCAGCATGTCTTCGGCCTTTGATCTGCTTCCACAGGCAATAAAAATGTCATCAACATATCTTAGGTATAGATCCGTTTCTTGTATATGTTGCTGCAAGGTACCGGTTCTAGGCGTGACACGAATAAGTCAGCGAAAGGTGGTCCCAAAGGGCTTCCCATTGCGACACCATCAACTTGACGGAATGAAGACTTTGGCTATCAAATAGTAGGTGGATTTGAAAATGCAGATTATAGCCAAGAATGACATAAAGCGATGTGGGCCTGATGCCCCGAATGTAGTTGTGGTTAGTTTTAGTACCAGTTGATAACTAACGAGAATTAAAATTGTTTAAGCTGACATCGGGGATATAAGTGCAAAACGTGGGCACTGGGGTAGTGCATAACTTCATTATTGATCAGATTTTATTTTGATAAATCACAGTGTTATCCAGTAATATTAACTGATGACGTTTCGCGGACAAACTACTGCTGATCATCATATCAAAGTTGATTTAACTGTTTAACACTGACATCGAGGAGTCTGAAACAGTCTAATTAGACGGAAGCAGATCAATCATACCCCAGTTTGAAGAAAAACGAATAAATTTTGTTGGGAAATTCAGTGTTGCACAGATCTGCAGAAGCAAGATGTAACTACGTGATCACAAGCCAGAGAAAAGCAGGCAAGCTTCAGTTGGAAATGAGGGCACACTGATCACATTCTCGTCCTTCGATTCCTGCTGGTGCGTGGAAATGATTAGATGCTTTCAACATTCTACTTCCTTTATTGATCTAGGGAAGACATTTGACTCCATCAATAGTGACTTGTTTTAGCACTGGCTGACTAATGAAAGTTGAGAAAATATATTCAGCTAATCAGCACAGTCTATTTGAACTAATGCGGCCATCTAAGAGCTTGTGTGAAGCTATTATTTTGAATTGATAACAACCAACACTGTCCACCAAAGACATCGATAGTCGTCTCTAAAACTTAATCGCATCATACGTATATTCATCGAAACAATACTGGTTGTCTTCAGTGTTTCAGAAAATCACTCCTTTCCAAAGTAAATTTCAGTTGGCGCAGAGCACGCCGATGAAAAATACTCAAAGGATGTCAGCTATATATGATTCACGTCTGCCAAGACTGATCTGCATCAGCTTCTAGTTTGAGGACAGGTAGTAAATTATTCGAGCAATTACTAGTTCACTTTTCTAGCGTCTTGTGAATTCAGACCACGTTGCTCCACCGGAGTTATCTTTTGAGATTACCCACAAAGATTTAGGTTTCCGTAACAGCGTATGGTGGAAATGTCGACAAATCGTCAATATAATCTCGAGCCACGTGTAAAGAAAACATTTGTTGATTCTGTTAGTCTACTAATGTCATAACCTCTCCGTTAATCACTCACCTTATCTTTGGTAATAAATTTCCTATTATCAGTCTCACAAGTTTTGTTCGTAGATTTCCTCATTCTGTTCATACCTGTCGAGTGGACACAACTACCTCAATACTCATTCAGTTGAAATTTAAACATAACGTAACTTCACATACTTTCTTTCTATTTATGGTTGAATGTTGAGTCATTTTTTATTTAAAACTTTCATTTCAGATACCAATCCTGAGAACGTTTGTCCGTGATGTCAACCCATAATGACTCAATAATAGACAACTTCGAGATGGTGAATACTCTGAAGATGATATCGCCAACAAGCAATACTTTCTTCATGGATTTATTTCTTACTTTCTTCAAGAGTGAATAAGAATTTATGGTCTTCAGTTGAATTTCATGACCACTTGACTGCTTTGGGGAATTTTCACTATCGGCTAAAGTCGAAATGAATCTCAGATAGACATAAGATCCCAGACATATCGACCTGAATGAAACAAAAAGACAAGGAACAAGATGATCTGATTTCGACCCATTCACTTCGATATGTCAGATAACATGCAATGAATACGACATCATACATACCAAATGAAAGACAGACAAACCAACTTGTCCGCCTGATGAAACTGTTTCAGACTCCTCAATGTCACTGTTATACAGGAATAGCAACTTTTTGATCTAATGATGAGTAGTAGTTTGTCCTCGAAATGTCATCAGTTAATGTTACTGTATGACAACACTGTGTGATTTATCAAAATAAAATCTTATCCATAATGGAGTTATACTCTACCAGCACAGTGCCCAAGTTTTGTACTTATATCCTCGATGTCAGCCTAAACCATTTTAATTCTCGTTAGTTATCAGTACTAAAACTAACCACAACTACATTCAGGGCATTAATCTCACGTCGATTTATGTCATTCTTGGTTATAATCTGCATTTTCAACTTCAAATACTGTTTCACGACTAATGTCTTTATTCCTTTAAATTAGAGTTTGGACAATCAACAAATGAAGTGCAGCAGGAGGTCATTCAAACTGCAAGTCACAATATTCTTCTAACCGTCCTATACATGCCTCCTGATACATTATTATAGCACAATCTTCTCCGAGAGTACCTCAATTTGTTACTTACAAGTCATCATCACAATGATCTCAGGTCACAAGTAACACTAAGTCAAAAAGTAGCCACGAAAGGAATCAAGTATTAAAGTCAAGTACTAAAAGTGAATGCTGAATTCAGTGCTAAGGCTGTTATTCAGAGTGACAGACAGAGGGAGATACAACCAAATCTTCACCGTAAAATTATGCACTTCAGTTGGGAAAATACATGGTTGAACAATGAAATTATCGGTGGAATACCAGGTGATAGAGTGGATGGAGCAGATAATTAATCCAGTGCTGTTTAACTGCAGCCAGTGAAGCATTAGTCGAGGTCAGTCAATCTCAGTTAATGATCTGACATCACAAGATTAATACAACCATGACTACATATTGACAGGCGAAATCGATTGATGTGACAAAGCCGACCGCTCAACACCTAAATTAACAGTTGACCCACATTTACATGCATATATAAATGCATGCATGGGTGGAACACTATTCAACTTACCAGTAAGCCACAAACAAATTGTAAGTTATGCAATTCATTTCCACATTTCACTGTCGCATTTGTGTCTAACAAGTCACTTCTCCATCCAAATCACCAACCATACTACGTGAACACAGTTTCACACTGACCGGTTCGTCGGTCATGAGATATTCCAACGTCTTGTTGTAAAGCAGTTTTCGGATGTGTGGCGTCAACAAGTGCAGTTATCGACGTCTCCATCGTTGACGATTCACAGCATTCTCATCATTAAACCTTTGTATATTCGGTAGTTGAGCTATCTGTCCTAAACTGAGAACTCTTTCTTCATTCGCTTCCTTCTCTTTTGACAGACTTCCGATAATGGCACATCTCTCGATACTCTGCATTGTCATGGCTTGTGTTCTCCTCCCACATCTCGTCGAAATGAAGCCTTACAAGAAGTCCGAGAAACTGCCACTAAATTTTGCAGAGGATGGTGAGTCATATGGATTGTTTTCCTTATCATCATTCTCTCGTCAGTCACCACATGATCTTTACATCCCGAAACATTGTTCATGATAAGGTTATCCATTTCCACTTACTTATACACACACATAGCTATGAGCATGGTGTTACAGAATCCTCAGTCATGATGTCGTCTCGCGTGCTGCCACAAAGGAATATTGACAAATATGTGAAGAACAATTGATGCAATGGGTGTGGACACACTTTGATCGAATGTAGGCAAATGACTACCGGATATCACCTTCTCTCCATTTTATCATTTTATTCGTATAGCACATGTCAGCCTGATTGTTTGATTAGATCACAATTGACTGATTGATTGACGAACAGGAGAATTGTGCATCATCACACACAGGTCATTCAATGTATAGACGATTTTGACGATGCAGTGTTCACGTGTATAGGTGGCGATGAATCAGCTGTCTACCAGTTGATTCATCCTGGATTGAGTCCTCGATAGATAAATGCATATTGGCTTGATGAATGAACAAAAATTGAGAACAGTTTGTGTGTCAGTATACACCACACTTGCATCATGTCTGATAAGAAGAGCGATTCTCACGACACTGAATTCCATCCTACTATTCATGAATCCACTCACAAGTGTGACGAGTGTTGACCTCGCTTATTTCGAATGACAGTGGATATCCTTTCCAACGAGATGTGATTGTGGCTGGTGATGAAGCATTGTTCTATTTAGATGCGTTAATTATGTGTGAATTTCCAGGTGAATCACTTCACACTGCTCATCATGATCATGATCATGATTATTTTTTGTGTTTTGCTTTCAGGATCATGGAACATCAAGTTTGGAGGACTGACTGTTGGCAGTAACGAGAAGGGAGTGGTGAAGCTGGGGTCTGGTCTGTGTGTGACAAACTTCGATCTGTCGAAACCGACTTCTGAGGAGTTGTCTGCGAAGAAGGGAACTCGACAGGTGGACATGTAGGTTTTGGTGTGGCTGATGACTGATGATGGCATGTCTTGTTTTCTATTTTGGTATTGAACACCACACACATACACACACTCACGCATACACATTTGATCCGATGTTCGGCCTCACTGGCATCACATGCTCTCTGTATTGGAGCGACACGTTTTCAGTTGTCTTTATTTTCGTGTTGGTTGCCTCTTCACTCAGTGGCCCATCAGATATGCGTGAGTGGGGCATCTTTCAATGACGTTGCATTCACACTTCATATGTATTTCGGTCTTGACAAAATTCAGTGATGGATTTACCGGCCGATTTTGTGAGTAACTGCATGGAGCGGTGTCTGTGATTTGTAGAGATTCTGTCGTCAGTCGGTCGATATTTTTGTCGATGCTTCAATGTTGTTCGGAGTTTATCATTTGGACTACGACTAATGGAGTCATTGAATGATGTTGCACGTAGACCAGGATTCCATTATGAATTATTGAGAAATACACTTTCGTATGACCACAGTTGTCTACTTGTCGGTCAATCTGTGCCGACATCCTCATTGTTTGCCACGACGTTGATGATCTCTGTATACGCCAGTGGATTATACACACTCCACAAACACTACACAAAATCTACCATGGTGAAACTAGCATTTGGGGGTGTAAATCAGAACTATTTTCTCTCATTCATTCATTAATTGCATCACATCAGGTTCGTTACCAGAGTCATCTGCAGACTGTTATTCTCTGGCTTCGGATACTCACAAACAGCACACACACACACCATGTGAAATTTCGTAGAGTCTGTTTCTCTCCTATTTTTCTAATCCGAAATCGTCACTTCACTGTATTTCTCAGTAGATATATATTCATATGCATTTCTTGATGTGTTTCCATTGCAAACAATCATATATTTCTCGTGAATTGTATCTCTGTCCACTTGCAGTGCCTGCAAACGTCCTGATGTGAAGAAGATTGAGAAGAAGATTCAAAGTTTGAAGAAGGACATCAAGGAGGCGAAGGATGCGAAGTCGAAGAAGGATTAGATGTTCTGTGTTGAGGGAGATTCAGTATTTCTCTGGTTGGACAAGTGAAGTGACCGCGATTGACATGTTTTTTAAATGAATACTCAATAAATGAATGTTACATGTATGCTGAGTTGCTATTTCTCTTTATATCTTTACCTCAGTCCATTCGTGTCCATCAATTAGTAAGAGACTGCATGGCTTTCGTAGTGATGCATTACTGTTGTTCGTTGATGCTCAAAGTGTTGTGCAGTGTGTTTGTGGTTTGATTTTTCTGTAGATGTATGAATTGAATAATGCGTTGAATGCAGTATTTATCCGGTTTGTGCACTCAATATTGAATTGAACTGATTCAATCAGTCACACTTAGATTGTCCTTCGTAGTTGCTTGTGTATAAGGATGTGTGCAATTGTCAGAAATCCGTTTTGCGTCATAGTGCGTTGATGCATTCATCTCATGGTTTTATGAATCACACCTTCCCTGACTATGCTAAATCGCTTGTATCTGGGTTATCCACCTTACTCCTGAACGATATTGCCTCATTGTGTTCGACAAAATGGTTAGATGTTGACAAATACTTAGATGCCTCAACATTGTATTTCTCACGGTATACACTCGCATGAAAGTATAGTTCATTGTGAAAAGAAGGGAGGTGATGTTCACAAATTTCTGTCATTGAAATTCTGTCATATAAATAATATGAATAATACGCATGCAGTGATTATTGCGAAGAGTGAGGCAAGTGAATCTGTGAGCAGGCTGTTTTCGGTGAATTGGTTTTCGCGTTTAGCTGTTCGATAGGAATTCTATGCAATTGTTCACGAATGATTTCAATACGAAATCTGAGGGGATAACAGGTGATTGAACGGTATATTCACAAGTCCGATCATTGAGAAGTCCCCATGAAACGGTCAGCTTCCATTGTCCTACATTTGGCTACGTGTTGGGTTAATAATATATTTGACTGAATCCCTGTTTGTAGTCCTATCACTCTAGATGAAGAACTAGAAATTCGTAGGATAATACTCGTCAAAGTGTTATACTCATAATGATGGATTTACAAGAGCTTGAAATCAGACGTTCAGTGAAATTGAATTTCTAATTTCACTGAAACCGAGTCTATACGTGAAACTCGATTTCGATTGAGATTTAAACTTTGGTGTGATATTGTGAGCGACTAATTTCAACATCTAATGAGATAGTATTCTTCCTGTTAGCGCTAAAAATCTTTGGTGCTCTCCAGTCTTCGACTGATGTGCAGGCGCCTGAATGACGATATGAGTGATTTGGAACTTCTGTCATCCGTTCATCGATTTCACCAATGGAGTCAGTCATATTGTTTGAGTATTCTCTTCAAAGGTATTCAAGTATGCTATTGCACGTGATTGCACAAATCTGGGAGAGTTGGCACACAGAGTGGAATAATTTTGCATCATGTCAGATGTATTGACAAAGTGAACGCGTTCCTTCCAAAGACGGTAATCTCTCCTCGTCATCGCATTGCTGAAGCTGTAAACGCTGAGATGTAGAAACTGTAAGTCTGAATGGAAAGCGATTGATTCAACGTGACAACGTTTTTGATTTCTCAATTCATTTTTGCAGGTAATTTTTTACATTCGACCGCTCCTGCATTTCGTTCGTAATCCGATTTGCTTCCAGAAAATCCTTCGTTCATATGTGCAACCTTTAACAACTCATTCAATAAAATTTTCATCTGATTACTCTACTCAATCATCGCTCGCAATTAACAACAATGATTCTTGCTAGTACTGTTTGTGAATAAACCGTGTCGAAATAAAATTCTTCATTTAAAGGGAAAAATGAATTCACGTAAAGTGGCGTCTCCATCGAACAACTCGATTTGGTCCACTGTCGATAACAATCAGGTTTTCTCACTAAACTGTGCAAGACGGAAACATTAGCTATGTATAGAATGACGTGATATTTGATCAATGGTTTGAGGGAGACTAGACTGCTTCACTCTGAAGCTTACGTGTTATCCGAAAACTGGAAGCTCCCATCGTGTTGAATTATGTAACTACGCCTACCAGTAATGTATAAGCACGAGAAGTGATTCGCGGAGAAGGTTTTCTGCGGCTTTGTTTTGAAAGATACTTTTGATTGAATATGATTTCTTCATAACAGCTTTATCAGACATGAAAGCACGTTGTCCAATCATGATGATTATTTATTTCCAAATGAATCACTGTTATAGAGCACAGGCATTTTGTGTGATGATTGGATTTCGAACACCGATTTTTGATTTCCATTTTACATAGGTGTATACAAACAGGTGGTTCTTTCATGCTACAGAAATTCTTCGGCGGTATTGTTAAAATTATGGTTAGCCAGCATATATCTGTTTCTATACACTTATATATTTGCGAACCAAATTATGAACACTGATTGCAAAATTGTTTCTCCATAAGATGTGCGCCGATTTTATTATGATGTCATTTGTGACAGTTTGGTTTGTGGCACTGCGATTACCGTCGAGATTATTCATATATCGTTGAACAACGTGATGGGAATAACGACTATTTGCCAAATGTAAGGTTACTGATAACTCAACCTCAAGTCTTTAAATTTGACGATCTGTCTACAAGGAGCTCACATCGACAGTAAGTATCAAGATCGCCATGTTTTTCGTCTTCTCCATGGTAGAATGAGGTTAGTTCAGTGCTTTTCCAGAAATATTCACCATGTACACACAGAGAATTCCGGTGCAGAAGAGCTGAAAAACCATAACAAATATTATTAGATAATAACTATCTTCCGAAATCTATATAAAACTGCAGAAGCTCCAAACAATTAGCTTCGAAATTCCCACTAGCTCCCAGAATATGTTTCCGTATTTTTGTTGTTTTCATGATCTTCACCATTAGCTTATGATAGTGTGCTATGTCACCATGTTTTGCAATTTGCATATAGATGTGTCCAGATGTATGATTCACATAACAATCACATTACTTCATGATTTGAAAATCAATCTGCATGGCTTTTCATGTATGGCGTATATAGCTTCTCAAGTTCATTCCTTGAATTTTATCAGATATGCAGCAACCTAATTAATTCTTGCTTCTCTGTGTTCACTTTGAATCATTTGCATATTCTGACTATGTCTCACGTTTAATTACTTCTCTTTTTCATTTCTTTCATTCCTCAAATATTTTCTGAAATATATGACGGCTAGTTTACTACTGGGAAATTAAGGTTCTTCTGTTTCACCATTTTTTTATGATCCGCTACCAATTACACTCACTGCCCGAATATTTCACGCACTCTATTTTGACTGACACAGAGTGAGATCATATGTTGTCCCTACACCTGTTCATATGTACGACTCTTACGTTATAAGTTAAATGTTAACCCCAGTACAATTTCTGTTTATAGTGGCATGACGACAGTCTTTACAAGATGAAACGACTTCTTCCAATTTCATGAGGTTGTATACATCTGTCTATAACAGAAGCGCCTCTTGCACATAAGTTATGCAAATTGAAATTCCGCGGGCTTTCACTAGAATAACTACTGTTATTATACCTTCACTACCTGTCGACAAGTGCAGTTTTGAAATTACACTTCTCAGCGAGTGAACGAAATTCCGAAAGCTGAACGATGCGAGATGTTTCGAGAGAGAGGCAGAAACCATCTGATAAACACCCTCAAGAAATCGACAAATAATGTAGTTATCTATGAGACATACTACAATTCTCCCAAACCTACTGGAAGTTACATAACACGATTGTAGATTTTTCGGCCAAAGTAGACAAGTTAGGACTACCGCTTCATATTGGGAAAGGAAAACGATTTTGGAATTCGCGTTGTTAGCCTAAAAGTGATGCCTGTATAAGATGCAGTATGAGAGAAAACTTCATCTTCAACAGCTTTTATTACAGACCTATACATATTATTGCCATGATTTCTCTGTTTGGTCCTATTTCTGCAGAGCATTTTCTTGCTTACTTTAAAAGCTGTCCATTGAAACCTGTGATACATATAATGGATTCCTGTTATCATCATGTATTTATTATTATTATTATTATAGAATTTAATGGTGTACATCCACTGCTTTTATTGACTTTTGATGAAGAACATGATTGTAGATCACACTTTTGTGATGTTCAATTCAAAAGAAGAGAAGATGATTCTAATGGACCGTTTCTGCGTAGTAATATCAGTTATGTCTCCCCTAATCACTCAATACAAGATTATTATTCCATGAGGACTTTGTCGGTACAGAACACTTTCTCTCTTGAATTCTGTTTCATTTTCTTCATGACAGGAAGATAGTTTTCAATCTTTTTCAGTTTAATGTTTTGCCCAGTTCACTTGTATGAGGAGTTTCGTCATCGAAGAAGGTGTGAATGATTCCAGGATCGATACAAGAACTCTCACATCACGAAATGAATTAAAAGCAACGATTACGAATCATTCACTTCAATATTTTACAGCTATTGTTAGGCCAAAAATATTTGCGAAAACGGTCCACCAGAGTTAGTGTGAAAGTAGCTACGGATATGAGTAAGTGTTGTTTAACAAGATGTGTAGTCCGTGAAACTTTCATTCCATACACACACCAGGACATATTCAAACAATTATCTGAAACTCGAAATTTCGACATATATTTGAAGTAAATGTTGGTGAATAGAATAATTACCTGACGAATCACTATAGATCATGGAAACAGTCACAGATCAGTGCGGTTCAACAAGTAAGTCGACAGAGTTGCCGGTCTACATAGATTCACATCAAAACAGCTACAGTGTTACATCTCATTATTATTTGAATGGCTGCAACAACCAACAAATAAACAGATCAGTGTGAAGGCAAAGAAGTAAACAAATTCAATCAGGCATTCCAACAAAAAGCACACTAAATTCAGTGCTGAATAAGTATATCAAAGAGAGAATCAAACCTACAGAATTAAACAGTGCATCACAGATCACAAAGAAAAACGTACATAAAAACTCAACATATCCATAAAATAAAATAAATGGATGTCATTGAATCAAGATATCAATCCATTTGCATGATCGCAGCACACAGGATTGAAAACAAATTCAAAGCGTCAAAATTGATAGCATAAAAAATGAAATCAATGCC